GAACCACACTGCTAACAGAACCACACTGCTAACAGGACCACACTGCTAACTGAACCACACTGCTAACTGAACCACACTGCTAACAGGACCACACTGCTAACAGGACCAAATTTAGCTTGTCTCTAAAAGCCACATTAGTTACAGTTTGCTAATTATCCCCCGCCTTCATGGAACGCAGCGGTTGTAGTTGATATGTAACATTGTTTTCTCAGTATCGTTTCTTGTTATGATAATTGAATTTTAAAGCTAATATAAACAAACAAACAAACAAACAAACAAAACTGTGTAATTCAGCATGACATTTACAGCTTTAAAATGATAGAGGTTAGCTGTGGCTAATAAACAGCCAATTCCTGATACAGAGCAGCTAAAGAAATTATAATTAGCACTGAGATGCTAGATGTGAGCTTTGGCTAAAGGGCCCATCCCTGCTAATGTTCTAGCAACAGATGTGTAAAATATGTGGTATTATTAGCTTTTAGTGCTAGCTGGCAGTTTTTCATGCTAATAGCCAGCCGAAGTAGTGGATGCTGCAGCGAATGGACGTGTTGGACACGTGCCCAGATTGACAGAGTAGATGGCTTAGTTGCTCAATTTTCAGGGTATTGATCAGTACCCGACTTCACCAAGGACAGGAAACAGCCTCTGCTGACTACCCAACAGTCCCAGTTTGTCCCCTCTTTCCACAAATGGTGTTTTACTGTGTCTGAACCAGTTCTGATGAAATAAAGCCTTTTTTTCTTAATTTGGACAGTAATCGTGCACGTGGTCCTCCTCAGCACCGCTGAGCGTGCATCAGCCCGTCGGTATTCTTGTAAATAAGGACGTTCTGGAGCCGCAGGAAACTAATCTCAGTCCCTGCGATGCCCTCGGCAGTGATGGAAACACAATACGTGCGTCTCTAAAAGGGTTATTTAAAACCCTGTCGGCGTGATGAAGTTGACGCTGTGTGGGAGAAGAAACTGCCACTTACAATAATGACACTCCAACACACACACACTTTCAGCTGTTGTAAAAAATGTATGTATAAAAACCACCTCTGCTTTCATCTCAGTCTTTTTTAATCTACTCTACCGTGCACGGAGCAGGTGCACAGGTGTGAGCCACACAGCAGCCTGCAGCTCTCAGCACAGAGATTACTTCACAAAGAGGCTGTTTGTCACGCGCGCTTGTTCCTCCTCTTTGATCCTCCTACAGGTTTTAATGTGATGGAGCTCCCTCCTGATGAAAACCTTCCCCGAACGTGACGGTTTTCAACAAACTGGAAGCGTCGTCAGTTCACGAGTCTCGGATCGTCGGCGCTACCTTCAGTTATTCTGGGAGCTCGGCTGCTTGACGACCTCAGACTACTTGTTAGCATTCGTGCGGCTCATATGGACTGTTGGCGACCAACGGCAAACATCATTTAGAACACGCCTCAAACCGTTTCCAAACTAATTCTTGTACGTATAAAGAGCTGAACGTACGGATTTGTGGATTTAGAAATAGCATCCGACAGGGTGCCGAGGGAGGAGGTGTGGTGTGACATGAGGAAATCTGGAGTGGCAGAGAAGAGTGTTAGACTGGGACAGGACATGTATGAGGACAGCAGGACATGTATGAGGACAGCAGGACA